GTCACGTGTTATCTCCTTGTCTATGTAGGTTCCCTTTGTGTCTCTCTCCTCTGTGTCCCTCTCCCTCTCTCACTCCCTCTCGCTGTCTCTTGTGTAAGCTTGCGTGTCCCAGTTCATGTCTTTCCATGTTTCCTGTTTTATTTTGAAAGTCTTGTGTTTTCATGTTCAATTTGTTTAGTTTTACTTCCCCTGTGGCATCTTGTTTATTTGCGTTAGCTGTGTTTCCCCAGGTGTGTCCACTTCTCTCATTACCCTTCTGTGTATTTAAGTCCTCTGTTTCCTTCAGTTCAGTGTCGGTTTGTCTGTCCTGCTTCATGTCATGTCAGGTTTTAGGATTTTTTCAAGTTACTGTTCATGACAACATTTTGACAACCACTAAATCACAGTGATTGCACAATAGTTACTTAATAAAGTAAAACACCTTTCAGCTTTTTATTTATTTTAAAATATCACTTTCTGGAGACCTGGAATATAGATCGTCCTGAGTCTAAAGCATTTTGGGTCAGCTTCTGTTGTTTAAATGTATTACAGACAATAAATAAAATAGTCAAACCAAAAAGGTTCAGACATTATTCATAGTACATGTTTTTCATTTCCAAAAAATAATTTGTTACACAGTTAAGTGAGCTCAAACTAAACTTAGAGGATAGAAACAAAGTATATCAATCGTAATACCAATACCAACGTTATATACAATCAAAAGTTTAAGAACACTTGAAAAATGGCAAAAAATCATATTTTGCATGGTTGGAGCTTAACAAGGTTCCAAGTAGAGCTTCAATATGCAGCAAGAAGAAATGTGAGTGAGACAAAACATTCTTTTGAGCATGCAGTTTATTGAAAACAACGCTTAAACTGAAACAGGCTGTTTTATAGCTGATCGCAAGTTTAGGATCACATGCCTTTAAAAGGCCAAATCTGTGCAAAAATGTGGATTCATTGTCATTTTCTGTCAGGTATTCACACTGTCATGACGTTCTGATGGCAAAGGCAAAAAAAGTTTCCCTTTTGGAACGTGGTCAAGTTGTTGAACTGCAAAAGCAGGGTCTCTCGCAGTGTGCCATCACTGCTGAGGTGGGAGCAGTAAGACAGTCATTTGGAATTTCTTAAAAGGTCCTGAGGGTTATGGAACAAAAAAGTCAAGTGGAAGACCCCCAAAAATTTCACCATCCTCGTCTCCTTGAACACCACAGAACTGACCGTTTGGACTTTGCAAGAGTGCACCAAACACGGGTCATTGAAAGTTGGAAGAAAGTTTTATTCTCTGGTGAGAAAAAATTGAACCTTGAGGGTCCTGATGGTTTCCAACATTACTGGCAGGACAAGCAGATCCCACCTGAGATGTTTTCAACGCTCCACAGTGTAGGAGGCGGCATAATGGTCTGGGGTGCTTTTTCCTTCAGTGGAACAATGGAGCTTCAGGAGGTGCAGGGGGGTCAAACGGCCACTGGCTATGTCCAGATGTTGTAGAGAGCATCCCTCATGACTGACGGCCCTTGTCTGTGTGGTAATGACTAGGTTACCACACCGGAAGCACTACACCTCTGCCAAAAAGAATATTTATCCAGGAAAATCTTAAAATGAAGTCTGAATGTCTGATGAATTTCTGAATAAATTAATTAGTTTTAAGGCATCCCCATCAGATCAACTTTGGATCAGTCCATGACTGTATAGTATGCAGAGCAACTTCAAAACCTTGTGGCATTAGCCCGGAGCGTGATCAGAGATACTGACCCTCAGAATGATCTCAGCACCCTCCGAGTCCGCTCCAAGAGCAATGAGATCATTGTTGTAACAGGTGAGTGTAAATTAGTTAGGGTTTGTTGACTTAATGATTATCTGTGATATGGATGTTGACTTTTGGCTCAGTTGTTTGCCTGCATTTCCATGGTTCATCTTATCTTTTATGTCTCTGCAGAGAACAACTATCTGGTGATAAGCTTCCAGAAGCTTTCTGAGCCAGATGTTTCCATGAGCAGGGAGGTAGGGGTGTTGGGTGTGTTGCAGCACCCCTTCCTTAGTGCATAAATAAATAAACGTGTTAAAATGTTTTAAATAATATTCCCATTATTATTAATCTAGGAAGTTTTAATAAATAAGTAATAATACTTAATATGTCTTTGCTCTTAATAGCCAAGCATCACGGTCAAATAATGTTACATATCTTAGATGCAGTTGGTTAGAAATTAAAAATTGCACTCAAACAAATCTATTTTTTGAAAGAACGAGCAGCAGATTGATGATCTCCATAGTCATGCTAATGGAGGCCGCAAACTCCTGGAATTGTCCCTCTGTGTATCAGTATTCTCAACCAAATCATTTTCCAACCTGCGGTCATTAAAAACATGGTAACGATTCATCACAATGACAAAGAGACTGAAACACATCTCTCCGTGATGTTTGTTCTCAATAGGATGAGATGTTATGTAGAGAAAAACAATCTAAGTCTGATGTTTTGTGGGCAATAGTTTGAATCCCCTTCTCATCTTAAAGAGAGTGATCTATTTTAGCCAGAAGTTCAAAAAAGTGTTCATAAGTTTTATAAAAGTAAAAGCAGTCATTTGCAGTGGGGAAATATTGTAGTATAATCAAAGTCCAGCTACCTACTTGACTAAAATTGCTTAGGTGTTCTCAAAAAATGCATGTGATATAGGAGTGGTGCAAACTCTAAGTGTGAACTTGCATTAAATCATGCCTGATGATAGCAAAACTAAAAGTAATCATTTCTATCTTATGTGCACAGCTTTTAGTTTGGCTAAACCTGTCAAATAAATGTCAAGGCAGAAGTTTTCCTTCAGGCAAGAAATATAAAGCGACATATAACATAACAATTACTTTGTGCTTGTGTTTTGAAGTTGAAACATTTTTTTTCGAGATAAGAGAGAAGAATCGGTTTAGGATCACACTGCGCTGCAGAACACAGAAAATGTTTCTGTTTTTATGGATGTGAAATTGAATCGCATGTTATGGTCTTCACAGTCACTGCACGGAATGCAGTTAAATAATCTTTTGCTGATTTTGGAGCATCAGGTCATACAGCAGCTTCAAATGTGGTCATCAAAACCTCCCAATCGTGAAAAATCTTTTCAGGAAAATCTCGTGTTATTTTTTTTTTTTTTTAAATGAACTGAGATAGGGTTTGTTGACTTAATGCTTATCCACGGTATAGTATTTATTCCATACCATCTTATCTGAGCTGGAGACCACGTAGACCCTTTAAAAACAAAAACAAAAAAACAGAGACCAGAACTCATTTTTCAAAAACTGATGTCCCTTTAATTCTGGGACTAAAATATATATATATATATGACAAGTACATTACTGAGTACAGAATGGGAAATAGGTGCAATAAATGGAAATAGGCAGAAACATACAATTCTAAAAACCTTGAAAGTTAATATTTGGTAGGACCACCTTTATTCTCCAGCACAGCCTGTGTTTCTTTTGTAATTTCTTGAACCGATGTTCAGGAATAGCTCTCTGGGCTTCTTGAAGGACATTTAAAGGTCTTCTTTGGATGTTGGCTGCGTTTTGTTGCATTCTCTGTTGCAATGACGCCATACTGCTTTATTAATACTGAGGTCTGGGCTATGGGGAGGCCAATCCATGACTGATGTTCCACCGTGTTGTACAAATGGGTCACACTCACAGTTGTACACATTTCCTGATCTACTTCATACATATTGACGATTTGAGCCAACAATTTCAAATTTGGATTCATCACTTCATAAAACCTGTTGCCCCTGATTTTCAGTCTAGTTCTTGTGTAATTTGGCATCTCAGCCTTTTCTCATGATTTCCCTTCCTTGAGGCTGCCTTCTTGACAGCCACCTTTACAGTGAGACCATTTCAGATGGTCCGTGAACAGTAGATAGTAGATCGAGTCGAATCTCAGGTTCTGTGTCAGGTCATTGCTGGATTTTGTTTTCTATGGACATGACTTACAGATACCGTTCTTTTCTCCTTCATTTGTTTCAGTTTCATTTGCGTACTTCAGATTTGTTAATGACACACTACAGACCCTGATAAGATATGTCACGGTTTTGGCTAATAGCGCTCTGGAAATCACCTTGTTGATCAAACTTATCTTTGTTACTAGCAGCCTGTCACAAAAAATGCCAAAGTCCATACATTTAAAATTGGTTCCTTGATTAGTTATGTGTAAACATAACACTGATTCATCCCTTGAGTTAGGTGACTGGTGTAATAACTCATGGGCCAGTGTTAAGTGGTTGGTACAAGGACTAAATTAAAAGTGAGTGAAAAAGTAGCCAGTAATTAAAGCAAAACTTTGAAACACCTTTAGAAAGTCTAGTGAATTGTTGCTTGAGAGTACTTTAAAAGCATTAAAACAAAGTCCAGCTCTTTGGAAGCAAAATATGAATAAATGAGGGGAGTATCAAGACTTTTACACTGTACTAGATATCAGGGCTTTTTTTCCCCTGTGCAGACATGCCTTACACTAATGATTAAAAAGAAAAATCCAAACGGTATCCACTTCTGTCGTTTAAATCCCATACACTGAGGCAATAAAATATCAGGTGAAGAAATGACTAAGGGAGGGCATGCTGTCAGCAGCACATTGATGCGGACTATTTTTAAACCTAGCAATCACAGCAACTGAGAGTGCCTCCTTAAGTGCATGTTAAAGTCTGTTATTAAAACTTGGTAATGCTATCCTTTCAAATATAACCACCAGGTCCACAGGAGATGCTCGCTGTCTGAGAATTACAATGATTAAATCCATTCATAATAATTATGGAGGACACAATTTGTGTGCAAACTTTGAAGACCTCCAAAGGCTTGGGAGTTTTTGTTGCTGCTCTCAGTTTGTTTTGTTTTGTTTTTTGAGCTATGGAGGGTCAGACATAATGACATTTTGTACATTTTAATCAGCTATTCTGTGTAAGACCACTTGCTGAATAAATGCAAACACAGACCTCTGATAAATATTTCAGAGAAGTAAAAACTCAGATATGCAACAATAACAGTGAGGAGTTTTTACAAGTATTTTAATGTAAATTTACACCCGAATTTACAGCAATATACCGTATGTTAATAAATAATTCATTGCCATTATACAGCCCAAATAATAAATTACATAACGGATTGAAGCAAATAGGCAAGATTTCACAGCAGGTTTGCAGAGGAGACGGAAAAAGTGACGCAGGACGGTCAGGTGAACTGGAGGGGAGGGCGGGATTGCTACGGTGCTTGTGCTTGTAGATAGAAACTGAACAAGTGACATTATTTTTTGTCTTAAACAAAAAGAAGTCTCATCAAAATACCAGTGAAAGGTATAGTTTGTTATTCTGTCGCTTAGGTTATGCATAAAACAATAAATAATTATTACAGGTGTCTTTTTTTAAATTAGTTTTGACATGAATTGGAATAGTGAACTAAATCGTTTGGCTTTTCTCTTCCTGAAAGTAGTTTTCAGTTGAAATTGGACAAAAACTGCGAGAAATCCTCGCTCAAGTGATGCAGAATCTGCATTTCAATGACTTATTTATCTCTCTAACATTTATGGTCATGTTAAGGGCTTTGAGACACAGACTCCCGGGTGTACCATCCAAAAAAAAAAAAAAAAATGGTACATGACTGACGTTTCTCCATCCACAGTGCACCTCTCAATCATTTTAGCGTCACGTAACACCGACTGTGCCAGTCTCCTTAAATTTCTAAACCTTTTCATTCTGACCAGCAGCAGTTTAAACAAAGCATATGGCTTCCCACGACAAATGGTTAAACCGATAAAGCATACAAAACTCTTCATCTATCACAAGTGACATTACCCATTAAAAAAATCTGACCTAAAAAAATGCCATTGATACCATTTGCTGTTATATAGACATTTTAGACGTTCCCTACGCTCCGTAGAGCTTTTACCAGCGACACACACCGCTTCATCTGTCAGATATATATAACTAAGCAACAACATACAATACAGAGGACGGTCAAGTTTCCCTCTGCTTACATTTCAAGTGCATCCTGTCAAGTTTAAGGCCTGAGGTGTGCTTGATTCCTTGACTCAATTTTTATTTTCTGAGGTCCAACTGGGTGATCATTGCACACCCGGATTACCTCATTGCTGCCCAGAGAAGCTACAGATATGTGCCTGCTGATACATTTATTTAGTGTAGACTGAAACATTTTAAATCCATATGAAAATATGACTGTACACTGGGCATACAGTCTTGTGAAGGAAAAAAAAAAAGCACACTCTCTTTCGAATCTAAGAATGAACATATTAGCACATAATAAATGATCTGGTCCTTACTGGGTTCTAACATTATTTAACTATAACCTCAGATAAGCATGCTGCATTACACCGTGTCATTATTAATTTCACCAAAAACTATAACAGAATTTCCAAGCAGTGCATGAAAAACTAAGCACACCCTCACTGCCTCTATAGCAATTAAGAGCAGCTAGGTGCTGGCTGATTGATTGACCATCAGCAAGTGTGAGAACCTCTATAAAAGCAGTTTTGGAAGTTTGCAGCTCAGGAGCATTCAGGTGTGTTTTAACAAAGTGCCAAGGAGATAAGACATCAGCAGTGATCTGAGAAGCAATTGTTTTAAAAGAGTTATGAGGCCATTTTCAATTTTTTTTAAGTGAAAGATTATTAACAAGTGGAATACATGCAAACCAGTTGCCAACATTCCCTGGAGTGGACGCCCCAGTAAATTTACCCCAAGGTCAAACGCTGCACTGCTCAGAGGAACTGCAAAAACCCAAGAGCTGCATCTCAGGCCTCATTCAGCATGTTAAATGTTAAAGTTAATGACAGTACAGTTAGAAAGAGACTGAACTAGTATGGCTTGTTTGGAAGGGTTGCCAGGAGAAAGCCTCTTCTCTCATGGCAGCATGGCTTAGGTTTGCAAAGTTGCATCTGAACAAATTACACGATTTTAGTGGAACAACTTGGAGAAATTAGGTCGTGCAGCAAGACAGTGGGCCTCATTCACAAACAGTGGTTACACACAAATCTGTGATTCATCGATATTTTAATATGCAAACTTGTTTGTAGTCTATAAAGAAATTTAGAAGTGCCCCTGGCCAAGTGTACAGAGAAATGTCTCAGAAAATGTAAACACCTGTCTTTAAATACTAATATTATTACTGCTCCTGCTACTACTACGAATAATAAAATCAGGATTATCAGAATTACAATTAAATAAATAAAAAATTGAAAAGGTGGAGGTCTTTTAATTTAAATGTATTCCAATATCCCTTTATCTCATCTTACATTAAATGTTCTTTTTTCATTAAAATGACTTCTGTCGTATCGCTGGATATGATTCCTTAAAATCCAGTGTCTTGGCACTTCTCCACAGATATTAGAAAAAGAAAGGATTGAGTTTCTCATCTTGGACAGATCAGCTGCTCCTCATTCTTCAGCTGTTTTCTTTTTTTTTTATTTTATAGTCTGTTGTTCAAACTTGTTTCAGTTTCTTCAGTCAGACTTTTTCCTGCTTTCTTCCTTAGCACTGCAGGTCTTAACAACATCACCACAGCTGTCTCTACTTCGCTTTGAGGTCAATGCATTTACATATATAGAGAAATCGGGCTGTGGCAGTATGAAGATTGCAGAATCCTGTTGGATTCAGATTCAGTAACAAACGTGTGTTGGTAAAACAAAAAAGGGCGCTGGGCGCAATTTATGATTCCAACAACATTTTTTCATACACGCTTGTGTAACAAAAATTTACATAAATACTAGTGAATGAGGCCCAATGGCCCTGACAATGTCCAGACCTCAGCCTGTCTAAAAATCTGTGGCAGGACCTCGAGAGAGCCATGCATAAACAAATGCAAGAAAACCCCAGTGAACTGAAGCAACGCTGTAAAGTAGACTGAGCCAAAATTCTTCCACAATGATGTAAGAGACTGCTGCAGTCATACAGAAAATGTTTACTTCAAGTTATTGCTCCTAAAGGTGGTTCTTCAAGCACTGAACTGTGAGGTGTACTTAGTTCTGACACACTGCTGTTATTGTCCAACTGATATTGCATTTGAACTGTTAAGGACCAGATGATTTTTGTGATTATGTCCTGATAAGTAAAACCTTAGAACTGAAAGAGGTTGTACTCTCTTTTTCACATTGCTGTACTTGAAAGCCAACTCAAGTAGGAGTGGTTAGCGTTACTCTAACAACGATGCTGCCGTAGCTACGCAGTGTTGTTGAAATCCATGGGAAGAATCAGACCGTTTAAGCTCTACATGGACACCATGGATTACAGTTACTGTGATACAAATATAGCAGGTAGTAAGGTGTATCTGGGACCAGTCATGTGACAGAATTGACTGTCCAAAAAGGGTAACAAGACAACTGTTGGCTCCGTCGAGTGCTTCGAGTGAGGAGAGTGGCCCGGCTCCAGCCCGTTCTTGTTACTGTTCCTCCGCTGTCAGAGGCTTTGGAGAGTCTGTGTCAGAGGTCACCTCGGCGTGTGCCCGTTCACTTGGCCCCTGCCCCAGTGAATGTTCGGTAGAGTTAAACACCTCCTGAAGTGCTCGAGCTGGGCCTGCAGTCTCTCCCTCTCCTCTCTTACTTTCTGCCTCTGAGTCACCAGCTCCTAATAAACGAAGGATAGACACGGCTGTTATTACAGAAACCAAGGCTTTATGCACCAAGCTACATTGCTACAACAGGAGATGGCAACACTGGCACCAAAGAGTACACATACGTGGAAGACACAAAATGATGCTTACCCCCATAGTGATAGAGAGCTGCTCTGCAGTTCTGGTCAGATTGTAGTTCTGTGCTTCGAGTCTTTTACACTGACTGTGAAGGACTTGCCTCTCTATACTCCATTCTGTGAAGAGAAAACAGGCAGTTTCAGTTAATTATATTGCATTTTAACTTGTCTTTTACTCCAATTTTAGCCCCCCTGAGCTCACACACACCAGTGTACCCGCTGAGCTATTTACTTTTGATTAGAGGTCTAAAAGATGTCTAAATTGTATGTAGCAGATGACGCTAACTCAGGGTTTAAATTTAGATTTAAAAAAACAAAACAAAAAACAACTTGAGTCTCTCTAAATCATGTTCGTCCATTGTTTCAGTGTCATTTCAATGCCTTTTCCTTCTGCATGTACAATTAGTCCATGCAACCTTTGCACTGTTATCACAGGGACATTATTTCAGAACCTGCTGATCTACTGGGATTTCCCCACACAACCATCTCTATGGTCTACAAAGAAAGGCCCAAAAAAGAGAAAATATCAGTGAGTGGCAGTTGTCTCTGGGTTGTCAGAGGTCACAGGACAATGGCCAGAATACTTCACGCTGACAGGAGAGCAGCAGTAACTCATTACAAACAAGGTAAAGGTAACACATCAGACCATGAAGCAGATGAGGTACAACAGCAGGTGCCAATACTGTCAGCTAACTACAGGGCCTCCTTTCACCCACTACCCAAGATACAAGATATAGTATCATTGCTGACCATGTCCATCCCTTTATGACCACAGTGTACCATCTTTTGGTGGCTGCTTTCAGTAGGACAACGCACCATGTCAAACATCTCAGATCATTTCAAACTGGTTTCTTAAATGTGACAGTAATTTCACTGTACTCAAATGGCCTCCACAGTACTCAGATCTCAATCCAATAAAGCACCTTTGGGATGTCGGGGAGTATCTGCAGCAACTGAGTGATGCCATCATGTCAATGTGGAGCAAAATCTCTGAGGAATGTTTCCAGCACCTCATTGAATTTTTGCTAAAGGAAAATGGGGGTCCAACCCCTATAGCCCACTGCTCCGACCAATTAACAAAGAAATAAAAAAAAAATCTGAATGTTTTTTAGCAAAATATATGAACATCAAGAGTAAATGTTACATATATGCAGTCATTTTTGTAACTATAAATCATGTAATAAAGAATTGAACTGTTTGGGGTTAAATTTATTAATGTATGGTCTTACAATAGGGTTACAATATAAAGCAGATTTAGCACTATATAAATAAAACTGAACGGATCTATATTTATCCAGAAGACATAAAGCTCTCCAAGAAATCCATAGTGCTGCACATCTGCCAAGACATTTGATGTTTTTCATGTCTCAATTCATATATTAAATTAACAACCTACAAAAAATTAACATGCAGGTTATAGGTGGTTGAGAACTCTTAAGTTTTAAAAGTCAAGAATTTCAAATTTGAGTCCCTGCATCTCCGGCTAATTCTTTTACTGTTCACTGATTTTTGACCCGACTTCTGAGATTAATCTCACACTCTTGCTGAAAACTATTTACATGCAAGTTGTATATGTAGGCATTTGCAGTGCACAACTTTACAATTATGTATGCAACAAAATGTTTTTACATCATGTATATAAATAACTTTCTCTGTTTTCATCATATCACAGAAAAAGCGACTATTGGGGTAATGCATGTGCTATGTCACTGACTCACCGTCCACATACTCCTGGTAGGCCTCAAAAATAGCTTCAATGCCCTGCCACTTCCTTGGAACATCCTCCTCCTCCTCCTCCTCCTCCTCCTCTTCGTCCTCTTCCTGATCGGACTCTTCCTCATCCTCAGACAGGTTCTCCTGTGGGGCTAGAGTGTCCCGGTTGGCTACAGAAGAAGGGAAGTGATGGCCATTGATATGTGCACGCTGAGAGACATGGATGAGATTTGAACTTTTCAGCTGAGAGACGCTGTGAGGCTGCGAGGGATCGGCCTTCACGCCGGCCTCTGGGACACAATTTGAGAGTCCTTAAGAAGAAGAGAGTGAGACAAAACAAACAAAAAGCAAAGTCAGTCCTTGTAGCTCTTTTTAACAGCTTGATGTGATTTCCACTTAACGTGATAGGAACTGGACTTTTGTTTACATTTTAAAGGCAGTGCAGTGCACACTGACACCACTAGGTGGCAAACCCCTAACATTAAAGAACAATCAGGTCATGCACCTATGGGAGCGTGGCTAACCTTTGTTCTGCAGTGTGCTGTGTGTGGACTGCAGCACAGCCTGATGGAAGTGCTGAGCGAAGGCCTCAGGGGTGAACCGCTCCAAGGGTCGATTCCGCCCATTCTGCACTTGACTGGGCTCCTTTTTCTGAGCAGCAGCAGCGCCAGTGCCAGCGCCGTTCTGGAGGCCCTGGCGCTTCCTGTTCGATTGTGTCTCCACGAATTCAACCTTTTCATGATGTGGGGCCAAGGGAGGAGGGAGCCGAGTCACCGTGGAGTCTACAGGTGGTTTGTGCGCGTCGTTATGAAGGTGTTTATGTTTGCTAAGATAGGGAGGGGAGGGGCTGGGAGAGTCTGGGTACAGGTGTCCATTTGACGGACACGGCAGAGGTGCTGAGAAGGAGTCACCTAAAAGAAAAGCAGAAGTTTTATTAAAGAGTTGTTTGCTGATTAATCGAGAGCGCATGCATTCATGTTTCCTGCATTTGTCTGCGTGTGCCTCACCAGTGGAGGGAGCCGGAGGACTTCTGCACAGTGGTAAAGGATTATATCTGAGTGTGTCTAACGTCACAGTCTTCCTCTGAATGGCCTTCAGCAGCTCTTCTGTTCTCTCTTTATCTACAGAGAAAAAGACAGAATGAGAACACCCATCACTCATATTTTAAAAAAATATGTGTTAAAAAAAATGACTTGGCCGGGAACTAATGGGGAAGTGTCAGTAAATGGATGATCTGAGGGTAATGCCCAATTCAGAGAGGAAAAAAATTCAATTTAATGAAGTTCTTACCAGTTTCCCCCCCTCAACAGTCTCCAAATGTTTTCTTAAGGTCAGAATAGCGTACACTGAGTTTAGATTTTATGCCCCATTTCATCGACAACTAAATCTTACTGAAGCACTGGCCTTACAGAAAAGTCTTCAGAAAATGAAGAGGAAAAACTTTAAAAGAGAGTGCAAGTGAGCTGCTGATTATACAACAGTGTCCCTGCAAGCAAGTAATAATCATTTAACAACAGAGAGTTTATGCTGGTATTTGAAAATCCAATTTTCAGATTGTAGTTATGAGATTCTTTTTAACAGAGGGGTAAAATAAAATAAAAACACAGCCAGTGTGAAAAACAAAGAGCTCTAAGAATATTTAACACTTCTTAGGCAGTCTTTGCATAATAATATTTCTAACTTTTAATATAAAAACTTGAGAGAGCAATGGAAAATTTCTCATTCATTGCATTCTGCCATCAGAGAGGCATCTTATTGGTCCTCATTCATCCTGCAGCATGACAAGAACCCCAAACGTACAGCCAGCGTCACCATCTGTTTTCAATGACTACTGCAGACGGTATGGACTTGTGGTCACCTTCATGTTATTTTTAAACCCCTAAGATTTTTGCATTGTACACCTTATACATGCCAATGCCACTTTCTTAGGACCAAGTTTTTCTGATTAATAACTGCTTTTGTAGCAAATCTGCTTCACGATTTCATACATTTTGCTCTTCTGCATACTATAGTTGCACTTTTTGTTGTTCCTGACATCAGCACTTCATTTTCAGGTCATTTTCACCCAAAGAACTAATGCTTACTGATATCTTATCTTTTTTGGACCAGTGTTTATAAACCGTAAAGATGGCTGTGTGGGAAAATCCCAGACGATCCTCAGATTCTGGAGTACCCTGACAACCATGCCTTGTTCAAGTCACTAAAATGAACGTTCTTCTCTTTCCGATGCTTAGTTTAAACTTCAGCAGGTCATCACGACCATGTCTACACGCCTAAATGCTCTAAGCCAGGGGTCCCCAATCCCAGTCCACGAGGGCCGGTGTCCCTGCAGGTTTTAGATGTGTCCTTGATCCATCACAGCTGATTTAAATGGATAAATTACCTCCTCAACATGTCTTAAAGTTCTCCAGGGGGCTGGTAATGAACTAATCATGTGATTCAAGTGTGTTGACCCAGGGTGAGATCTAAAACCTGCAGGGGCACTGGTCCTCGCGGACTGGGATTGCGGACCCCTGCTCTAAGCTAATGCCACGCGATTGGTTGATTTTCGTTAACAGGTAGTTTAATAGGTTTACCTGATATAGCAGCCACCCAAAAGTGTACTTGAAGATATTTTTCTACATATTTAGTTTTGCCAGTTTTTTCCATTATACATCTGCAGTTTATCCAGTTTCATAAAATAATGACCTTTTAAACAGATTTCACACATTCTGAAGCAGTACCATGTCTTTCCTGGATGTGGGCTCAAATCTACTCTTGCTGGACAAATCAGAAAATCCCACTCCAGCCTTCAGATTCTTCCTAACTTTATTTTCTTCTCGCATGCTTCATTTTTTATCCCCTCCACGGGGAATCACCAGAGCAGAGTAGCACGTAGGATGTGTGTGTGGATACCAAACAGGTTGTTACCTCTCCTCTGCTGTGGGCTGACGTGCGAGAGGTTGAACATAAGGAGGAAGTCTTTTTTCTTCTCCAGTTCGGGGGTGCAGTCCATCTGCTCGGCAGAGTACGGAGTAGTTAAGGGAGTTGTGGGTGTTGAAGATGTTGAAGATGAGCAGGCCTTTTTCTTGCCCTGCACAGCCGGAGGAGAGACGCTGCGCTCTTTCATCATCCTCCTCCTCTTCCTCCTCTTCTGAGCCAGAAGATCATCGCGATGGGTCAGCGTAGTAAGACCACACACACGCAGAAAATCCACTTTCTTTGGAGAAAGATCAATCAGACAAAAGGGGAAAAAAACTCCCAAAAAACTTAATACCTGTGATGAATGCATATGTGACTGTGTGTGTTTTCGCACCTCTGAAGACGTGTCCAGCTTGAGTGGGGGCTGTTCTGTCACTCTTCTCAGATGAGCTTTCACCTCCTCCTCATCGCTCTCATCATATGACTCATCCAGGTCATAGTAATAACCTGGTAAAGGCAGAGCATTATTAAAACAATTGCAGGCCTGTGCATCAGTAATGACCTGATCTGCAGTTCCCTTTAGTCTTCCATCTCCACCTCCTGCTGCTTTCTGTTTTATTCCTCTCACCTCCTTCTTTGGCCTCTTTCCTCCTCTTCTCTTCCAGGTCGAGTTTGCTGAGCAGCCTGCGATGCTGCTGGAGAACCTCATCGTACACCATCATGCTGTCAGGCACCTGATGCGGTCGCTCCCTTACCGCTGGCGGAGAAGCAGCCTGGCACCGTCCCCCTAGGTCAGTGCAGGCTCCACTGGAGATAGACGGAGGCATAAAGGATCGCTGGTGGAGGTTATTGATGTGATGCCGGTGGTAGAGGCTCTGGATGGCTCTGTCCTGCTCACTCTTGTTCCAGCACTCCTGTAAACTTGCTCCCCTGAGTGAGGCGAACCTTTCTGGGCTTTTTGCCATCCTCCTGTTGCCCTCTTCCAGCCTCTCCCCCCATGCCGCAGGCGGTCTCTCGGCTCTGGTCAATCCCGGTGGCGGTCGACTCGGTGGCGTTGGGGCGTTTAGTTTTCTGCGGGAGTCTGCAGGTGCGTCAACAAGAGAAGCTGGGTTCCACAGTGTAGTGGCAGGGGCAGGAGGTTGATGAGGAGCTTTTGGGGAGATTAGCGGCGGTGGAGCGCCGAGGCAGGCTGCGACATCTTTGCTGCCTGGGTTGTGATAGACTGAACCGGTACTGCTTAGAGGAACAGAAAGAAACTTTTTTTATTCAAATTCTGGACCTAATAAAGAGTGCATGGTGTTTCAAAAGGGATACAAATTGTATTCAAAAGAAGAAGCAGCTAATTCTCACCGGCTGCCGTCTCTCCTCGGTTCCACCCCTTTCCCCGGTGACCTGAGGCCAAGCTCCCTGTCCTGTCCTTGTGCTCGCTGTTGTGTTAACCACGCCTCCTCGCTGGCTCTCTGACTCATCATGCTGGCGGAAAGAGCTCCATGGATCCCACCAACAGCACCAGCATGATGTTTCCCCAGGTGAGAAGGCAACAAGCTGGGCACTGGGTATGGCACAGAGCCCCTGGAGGAGTGAATGCTAGGCTGCAGAGGCTTAGGTGCTGAAAAACCTGGGTGTTCGGAGTCCTTGGATTTATCTGGAGAAACTGTGGAGTTATGGAAAGTGCATGTGTTATGTGCTACGCTGATATATCAGGATGTTTATTTACTTCAACAGCACAAAGTAACGGGCCTTTATTTGATGCAGTCTTTATTTCTAAGTCCTTCAGTTTGATAAGTATAACTGGACATATTAGTCCATTTTCCACTGCAGGAAGCCTTATTTTAGGATCTGCTCCCATTGCCCTTTTAAGTTATAGTATTACGTGCAGAATGTGTTCACAGAGGTTAAAAAAAATGAGACAGACTGTGTGCAGAGCTGAGATTTTTAGCCAAAGAGCGAGAGCTTGAAGAGAGAATAAAATGTAAAGGTTTCAACCACAAGTGTGCTAATTTATATGTCAGTCTGCTTGTACTTTAAACAATTTACCGCATCCTTTGATAGTTTTATTTCAACAACTTGAGAAGTCAGCAAGTCATTAGAAATTCCCCTTTGGGGTATAAATGTTTCTAACAGATTTCATTGCAATCTGGCCAGTAGCTGTCAGGATATGTGGCTCAGGTCCAAAGTGTTGGGCAGACACTTTATTTAAGCAACACAAGTGTTAAAAATTTAAACTACTGCAGATCAAAACCAGCAGTGTTGTGAGCTTCTGTCTTCTTTCTCGATAATAATGAGTCATAATGAGTCAGCTATACTCAGAACAGACTACTTGGGTATTTTAACTGAAATTAAGTAAAAAATAAATAAATAAATAAATAAATCAGTTTCTAAAACTCTGTATACATGCTTGAGCATGCACCTGCAGGCGAGCGCACATACATGTGCACGCGTGTTTGTGTGTAGGTACCCAGTCTGTTCGGGGTCAGCCTTTCTCCTGGCCTGGCCCTGTCCTCCGGTGGTGCCCTCCGAGCATGCAGCTCAGCCAGGTAGTGGCCCTCCGCCGCTCTGACCATCTGCTGCTGTCTCTCCCTCTGCCTCTCCTTCTGTCTTTCCAGCTCTCTCTCACGCTCCCTCTCCTCCTCTCGCTCCCTCTCTCTTTCCCGCTCTCGTTCCAGCCCGGCCTCTCGCTCTCTCTCTTTCTCTCGTTCACGCTCTTGCTCTCTCTCTCGCTGGCGGAGCTCGTTCTCCATCTGTAGCCTGTGGGGGAGGTTGACAAGTATGCGTACACACAGACACACACACACAAAAAGGGAGAAGGTGAGAGATGCAACACCCAACATGAGGCAGATATTAACCACACACTGGTGAACCTCGCACAAACATTTCTACTAAAACATACACACACACACGCAGCTGCAGAAGAACACACACACACACACACACACACACACACACACACACACACACACACACACACACACACACACACACACACACACACACACACACACACACACACACACACACACACACACACACACACACACTCTCTCCATTTACCACGAGGAAAATAATCCATACACAGCATGACTGAGCAAGAGCAGATGAACACTTAATAGGTATCCACAGGAAAATGACACACACACACACACACACACACACACACACACACACACACACACACACAAGCAATCAATAGCACACAAACAAACCTACAAGATATGCAGGAGCCATTACAGAACCAGATGATGAATGCCATCCATTTCAAACACAAACATTTCCCCTGTGCATTATGCCACAGGAAAACAATGAGTATTGTCAAACTGAGAAAGCAGCTCAAAGCGCTGAAAGAAAATAGAGACACACAGAGGGACTTAAAAAATAAAAAAATACTTTGTTATGTGTGTGCGATTTTATGTAAGCGCTGGCTTGCATATGCATGTCTGTGGGCGTACAGTGTGTGTGAAGGGCAGTGTGTGTGTGATAAGTGTATAGGAGGCACTGTGGGGTGTGTGCTAAAAATATCACACAGTCAGCAACCTGTGCCTACCCTGCAGAGAGATTACACAGCTCTGCAGACAGTGAAGAAAGAAAGAAAGAAAGAAGGAAAGGAAGAAAGAAACAAAGTGCTACCTCTCAGATAAGGCTGTGTGGTTTAGGTCTGCAGGGTAGCGGCCTCCAGGCAGGTGTAAGTGGAGGGCAGAGGGGTGCAGTGGAGGGAAGGCACCCCCTGCAGGCACAGAGTAGAACTGTGATCGCAGTGCAGAAAGACACAGAGACTCCTCCATCCTGTGGCAGAAAAAAAATCAAAAAATGAGTCAGAATATATCTGCCACCGAGGAGCTGATGGTTATCTGATAAGTGAGTGCAGAATAGATTAAAGGATGTAGTTTTTTTTTTAATTCTTAACATTTTGACTTTTATTTGACAGGACTGTGCAGAAGAAGCAGTAAAAGCATGGAGAGAATAGAGGTCGGAACCCAGGCCCCTGCAGCAAGGACTTTAGCTTTTTGTTATGGGGCGCCACCTCAACCCGGTGAGCTATAGTGGACACTGCACACTTCCTGCTTTATTCCAGCATGCTATATAAAAAGACTGTAAATAAAAATTGGAATAGCCACAATGATAATGCCTACTGGTTAGTAAAGTGAATTCAGCATCGTGTTTTAAAACCAGAGGAGAAGATTGGGTTGAGAAAACGAGGAATATTGCAGTCCCAAAGCTAGATTGATAACTTGTCAATTGCACTGTAACACACACCCTGCTATTTAGATTACTTACAAAATGATCATCATGTTGTATCCATTAAGACTAGTGATTATGCTATAGACTAATCAGAAAAGATTAAGTGAAGTCATCAATTTGGGGAGCCCCTGACTCCAGCTACATTTCTCATTGAAACCCAAGGAGCCCCCTGGTGGCTATAAAGAAGAATGCAGATTACTGCTATACACAGGCATTAACCTAAAAAAGATAAATGGCAGCTGTGTGGGTTTCTGTTACCTCGGTAAGGACAGAGGGTGGTGCAAGTAGGCTGGATGATAGTAAGCGGCGACGGCGGCGTGGGCTGCAGCGGCCGGGTCGAGGCTCAGGGGCAGAGAGCTCAGACGGAGGTCATCTGAGGTGGCGAACGGCCGGAGTGCTCTCAGGTACTCCTCTGGAACGGCACCTGAGGGCACTACGGGGTGCATCTGCCCCGGCAAACTGCAGAACATATTCAGAGGATAATTTTAAGAATGAATTCTGCACGCAGACTTTTCTGCACAGCTACGCAGTATGCACGTGCCACACTTACCTAATGCTCTGCATTCGGGGGTCTTGCATGATGCTGCTTGGTGTGAGGCCAAAGGAGTGAGCCAGGGGGTGAGGTGAAGAGATGGGAGGAGTCCTCTTATCCTGCTGTGGCTGGGGGTTCTCAGCTCCCACCCGCTCCCTGCTGAGACCCTGAACACTCGGCTCCACCTGGACATATTAGTCAAAGACATACAGAAAGTGTGAGAGCAGACTTTACTATGTCTATTGGTGTGATTTTTATTTTTCCAGTGTGTGTCTGTGTGAGTGTGCACGCGCTACATTCAAACAGAGTAGAGGAGTTCTGGAAAAAGACGAGTGAGAAATAAGATGGAGTGATTGCGTAAAAACCTCTGAGCTGCAGCCAGAGGCTCAGCGGAGTGGAAAAGTGGGTCTGATATGTCATAACAGGTCAAGATCAAAGTGGAAAGATGATCCCAATATCTAGCCAACTGCTCCATCCTTCATCACCCACTCCCTCTCTGAGCTTCTCACTCAGATGATTTGGCCACCACAACACTGCATTTGATCCTCGATTGCTCAAAATCACCACCATGACCAAATAGGCCTTTTTTTTGCCAAACCTGCATATAAACACGCATTAAGAAACAAGTACCCCATGCCTGTATCCAAGGCTCTCTCCCACTTTGTCTGGTATGTCATGCGGCATTGTTCTTCATTCTGTTCAAACCAAGCAGCGCTCAAGGATCTGAGAAATGAAGCCAATACTGAAGTAGTCTAGTAGCTGCAATTCACCAAATGGCCACTTGAGGTTGGCTCCAAACCATAGACAGTGTAAGAGATGGATGTAGCTTCTCTGATGTCGCCCACTGGTTTCTAAAGTCCTGTTTCAGAACCTCGAGTGGAGGGTTTCTGCTTCACCAGGGCGGGTCTGACTGTGAAACTGCACGGTCCTTGTTTAAGGACCTGTGATTCACAATTAGTTAGTGAATGATTGCGCAGTCTTATCCCAATCTGCTAGGACTCTGTGGTGGTGAGGGGAAGGAGACTAGACAAAAGACACTGTGGAAGAGATCCAGAGATTAATAATAAAGGATGATTAAATGCAGAGTGGTGTATAAGCACAGAGAGACAAAAGTGTGAGTGATCCAGCTGTAACTATAAGCTTTATAAAAAATGAAAGTTTTAAGCCCAATCTCAAAAGTAAGAGGGCATTTGTCTCCCACGTCTAAACTGGGAGCTGGCTCCATAGAAGAGAGGCCTGAAATCTGACGGCTCTGCCTCCCATTCTACTTTTAAATATCTTAGGAACTACAAGTCAGCCTGCAGACTAAAAGCAAAGTGCTCCATTGAGGTAATATGGAACAGATAATCCTGAATTTTAAAATAAATTTAAAACAAACTTAATGTTTTGTTCAGCATGACCCAAAACTTGTGGTTAAGCTCATAATCTTAGCAGCAAAGTGTTTACAGAGGTCAAGACAGGGACTGGTTTTTTCCTTTGATTTCTGTAGGACTGATGTCTCTTTGCAAACACAGCTATCGCCATCTGGTGGCATCCATGGTTTATACTGTTTGTGCTCCAAAAGGAAGTCAGTCTTTACAGTCTTTATATAATTTCCATACTAAAATGCAGCAGGCAAACGTGTTTGCAGCCTGCTATAAGAAAAAGGTGTGGTCACTGCAGCCAGCTGTACTGAGCTGAACTGATCTTCTGTGTTCTAAACTTTAATGTTTATGTTTTATGCTTAGCACTTACTAGTAGGCATCAATATATGTGTTGCACTTATAGAGTTTCTACTGTAGCTTGTAAACATTAGCTGCCAAATATCACTTCTAGCTCCAAAAATCACGAAACTCTTCTATAATGAAGACTCCAAAACTAATATTGGCGAATTAATCCATGACTTTACGTTTATTCCCATTTTCATATACAGTCTATGCTCCAAACTGTAAGGCAAAAAAAGAAAATGAAAAGACTCATAGTCTACAGCAGTGATTAAGCTGATCTAACCGTTTGTTTGCATGCTTGCAGTTAGCGATTAACAGATATTAAAACAAAGTAAAACCAGGAATTGAAAATGAAAAAGTGCTGCGATATTTTTTGGTGTGACGGAGCCACCGACTCACTAACCAACCAACCAAGAAGCCAACAGACCACCAGACACTGATTCTAAATAAGAAACAGCTGCCTGGAACCGTTTAGCAAAGTATGTTAATGAGAAAAAGACATACATTTACACTAATGTGTCATATCTTGTTGCTACAGCAACAGACAGCAGTACAGGTCAGGCTGACCACAGACAAACCACAAACAAATGACCTCTCTCAGCAACACCCAATCTGCTACCTTAGTTTAGTACAACACTTGATTTGCAGTATAATACTCGTGTTTTGAATACGTTTGAATAGTTTTGTATATGCCACTCATGGAAAGCAGATTCAAACCAGGGATGAAGCAGCTTTCCTTTGCCATCTCCCAGAAATCCTCACTAGGTCAAAACGAGACAGGGAGGCAACACATGGACGGTCTGGAGAGCAGCCATCGCATTCCTTGACCTCTGACCTCGCAGACAGCCAATGGCCTTCACAGACCCGGCAATAAAACACACGCAGTCTGCTTCCTTTGGTTAAACGGTCCTTTGCTCTGTCCGCACAGTACGGACAAACACTGAATTAACACACAGCTCTGCTCTCCCGCTCATTCTTACACTCCCTCCCTTCCTTTCTTAACATCCTATTCTCCATTTTTTTCCCTGCCTCCCTCCCTCCTCGATTCTCTCTGAATGTCTGAATAAGAGCCCCAGGCAGGCTGGGCCACAGAGTGGTCTTTGTGAAGGGGGAGAAAGGCAGCTCTGATCCAGGGGGAAGTGGCTACTGTGGGGGCTAACCTCTGCATTGTTTGAGGGGCCTGGTTACTTGCCACAGCTTAAATTCACACACACACACACACACACACACACACACGCGCAGGTCCCCCTTCACATCCTAAGCCTTTTGTGGTGAAGGGTCAAGTACACACACGCACACAATCTGCTGAAGCTGAAGACAAAAAGTGCCAGTCTCTGCAGCCTCCACTGTGTGCGTATTTTTTAGACAAACACTTAATGTGTTGCTGAATAAGACGCAGAACAGCAAGGAAGAGGGTGGCTGGAAGCATGAAAATGAAAGCGTAAGACAACACAGAGAAGAAAGCAACGCTTGGACGGCTGGTTTTGACAGTTGGATGTTGATAAGCACTGGGACTATTTCTTTAATGGAGGGAGCAGCAGCAGCAGCAGGACAGATAAAGGAGACTGAGAGCGACAGACCACTCATCTGTACTGAGAGAACACGAGAGAGAGACGAGGAAGGGCCGAGAGAAAAGAGGAGACCGGCGTGACAGGGGAACAAAAGGTACAGATGCACAGAGAGAAAACAGCAGACATTTTGTCTCAGACTGGCGCGAAACACCCAGAGGTGTGACAGCGTGATGAATGACACGTCTTACCTGTCTTCCGTCGGCCCTCCACAGGCCGTTGCTTGTCTTTGTGGGGGCAATGGTGACTACTGGAGGTGTGCTGGGGACACTGCGGCCCCTGTTCTGGCCCAGGAGGGGCCCTAAAGAGCCCCGCTTAGGGGTGGTAACCGGCGAGCTGTGGCTGGTGGCCGGGGAAGAGACGGGAGACGATTCACCGCTGAGGGCAGAACCTGAGGAAGGGAGAGAAAGAGGAATGAATGACAGCAAACAGCATCTGATCAGATTAAAAAGATTTCACGATCAAATAATCTCCCCGTGGCACATAACTTTTTCAATTTTTTTGTCAACGTGACGAACTAAACACTGTTTCAGTCATTTTTGATAAAAAAGCTTTCAAAAAAATGTGACAGAAACAAAGGAAAGTGTAATAATGATACCGGAAGGAAAAGGGTACGAGATGAAAGTAGGTGTGTGACACGCACCAAAAAAAAAAAACTGCTGTAAAAAGAGCGAAGGAAGCATGTCATAAATGGCTGTGTTAAAAAGAGGCTGGGGTGTGACACCAAAGGGGAGGTGTGATAAAGGGAGTGTGTGCGTGCTCCGTAACATTCACTCTGGCATTACTCCATATTTCTGAGAAACACATACACACGCACACAAACAAACACACTCGGAAACAAGCAGGAAATAATGAGACAGAGAAGGTAGGAACCAATGAGTTCATGTAGAGCTGCAGGTAGAGAAAATGAGATAGTGATGGAGAGTCGGGGACACAGAAAGAGAGAGAGAAGGGGAGAGGGAGCTTGTTATAATTGGCTGTAATTAGATTCTCATTATTAGGAGATGAATGGAAATGAAGGAAGGAAGAGACAGAGAGGGAGAGGTCAGGATAGGTCAGCTCTTATCCAGCACCTTCATTAGGACAGCAGTGAGCTGAGTGAGGACACACACACACACACACACACACACAACCAAATAGCTACCAGGCAGCCAAACATTTCACAATAATTCACAAAATACAACCATACTCTGAAAGGATCTACTTTCACTTTTACTGGCACTGTGTTTCAATACGCTGTCCAATTTTCATTCATTAACATTGTGTTCCTGTCTTCAAGAAACCGCTTTTTTCTCCCCCATTACATAAAAGATTGATACCGCCGTCGTGTCTGTAGTCTAAATACGAAGCTATAGCAGTCAGTTAGCTTAGCTTAACATAATACCTGGAAGAATAAGGACAGAGCTTTCCTAGCTCTGTCCAGAGGCAACAAATTAAAATCTACCATCAACCGTAAGATTACCCACTCTCCTACGCCCTGCTAAAGTGTCCGTGTGCAAACAAAGATTCCCATTTCTCCATGCAAAAGCTGAAGTATTCCACAGAGGAGAGAGAAACAAGGAAAGTCAACAGGATTTTGTACAAACCTGACACCAGCAGTAAAGGTTGGACTGGGTGTGACACACAAAGAGGAGTCTGTTTGTGTGTTTGTGTGTGTGTGTGCTCAAAAATACGTTAGCTCTCCAGGGCTTGAGGCAGCTGGAGCTGTGTTTGGGTGTGTGCAGGGTGGTTAAACCAGTGCTCACCTCTGGGGTCCTCTGCCTGTTTGGCCAGTTTACGAAGGGCAGCAGCAAATCCAGAGTTTGCAGACTGGGCAACTGCGTTCCCATTGGTTAGTGGACTGAGGGGACTGACTGTAGCCGTGGTGCGACTCGCCGTGGAGATCATTCCTAATGATGGTGACTTATTGGACTCATGGTTCATACCTGGCGAGAGCGGAAAGAAAAGATGCGAGGAACTTTATTATTGATTTGATTAAGCGAAGGCCTCGCTCAGCGTTGCACTCGGCTAACTTCCTGCCTAAAAAAAGATTTCTGAACACAGCTGGTACCAGAGTCATTCTGAATCAACAAAACTCAACTGACAAGTGTGTGTTTGTGTGTGTCTGGGGATGATAGTGAGTGCATACGTGGGGGTCAGCTCCACTAGAGACAGTGTGGAGGCAGGAGAGCGGTGACCCTAATAGCAAATCACACACATGAGTGCACACATGTCCGTTTCCTCAAGGGAGCCACCCAACACATCTTAAGACCGCAGGGGCGTCTACACACAAACCACACTACGCTTTTACACCCTTGTGGAGCATGCAATCATGTACACACATACATGCAGAAAACAGAAACACACACAGAGCGTCCATCGATCTACTGGACAGAGAACACACTGAGAACAAACACAAGTAAGGTAACCTTTGTCTTCACCCTCTACCCTCTTACTGACCCACTAATGTTAATTACAGCTGGAATTAGCCAGCACCCCTCCACCCACCCTGGCTGCTACAGCACTGACCTCATTAGCACCACAACACACAATCACACGAACACCTTTAGAACACTCACACAGACACATAAAACCACAAAAAGAGCAAACAAAAGGGCCAGAGCAGTAAACACACTCATGAAAAATTCATATGAACACAATGAACACCATTATTGAACGCGCCGCTCGTCACACTGACAACTTTGATAAAGTGGAAGAATAAAGTAAACGGTGGATTTCAGAGCTTGGAAATCTCAGACTTACAGATTCCAAAACAGGGAAAACAGCAGAGTGATTAAAAAAGTATGTAGGAGCATTAAAACAGATTTAAACTCGGTTAAGATTGAAAGAGATAATTAAAAAAAAAAAAAAAAAAAAAAACGAGAGCTGGTTAGAGGTTAACTCTAGGTAGGTTTCCTTTGCACATGCTCCCAAACATAGAAGCCTAGATTAGAGAGAAATGTGCCGTTTCAGGTTTTATGACCCTGCAAGCTGACAAAAAGCTAGACAGTGTGTGATGCATACAACTGACATGCATGTAGCTTCTGACATGCCACGCTCTTATCTAACAGAACCTGTTTCTATACAGTCCTTCCTCCTAATTTCTTCATGTCTGCGGTCACACATGTATTTACACGTCTTAAAGAAAATTGAACTTGAAACTGTGAATCAGATAGACAGAAAGGGAACGAGAGAGATGAAGAGAGCAAAAGCTCAGATCCTGACAGGCTGTGTGTGTGTCTACATCTCTGTCCCTGCTGAGCCCAGCAGTCAAGGGAGAGATGATAAGACAGTTTCTATCGACTCCTTCTCTCCCTCCCTCTCCCCTCTACTCGTCCACTCTTTCCTCCCCCTCTTTCTCTCCACTCTTTCCTCCCCATCTCTCCCTCTCTTTCTCTCCACTCTTTCCTGTTTATCTCAGCACACTGGAGCTTATTTAACAAAAGCCAACACACATAATCTCCTCTCTGTCTCTTGCTTTCTTTCTTCCTTCTTTCTACAATCTTTTCTTACACCCTCTGATATTTATCCATGTCGTTCACAAACACAGAGACACGCGGGCTGCCGTGTGCATATGCGCATAATTCAATCATGCAAGCACTCACCCTGCCGCTCACTGTTCTCCTCCTGCTTGTCGTCTTTCTGCTCCTATGAGAGTCTCTTTCACTCTCTCCCCTCTCAGCCTTGCAGCTGCTACATGGTCACGTGACCTCTTTTCTATCCACTTCCCACCTCCTCCACCTCTTCCTCCTCCTCCTTCTCACCATCTACTGCCCCCCTCCCTCTCCAGCCTACCTTTTACTCCTCTCTTCTCTCACTTTTTGTATCCATTTTCTCTCCTCAGACGCACCCTCCACCCCCCCACCAACCAACCCGACCCTCTCTCCTCCTCAGACAGCGCTTTCTGTCGTTTTCTTTCCTCTCTTCATTCTTCAGCCTTCCTCCTTTTGGCTAGCACTCATGGGAGGGTGGCGTGGTGACTGGAAGGGGATGAGTACGAGGAGGGAGGGAGGGTGCAGGGTGATGAAGGGGAGGGTGTGTGATTTGAGCTCTGTGTGTGTGTGTGAGGTACAGGGTAGTGTTAACCCTCCATCCATCACTCTGTCTCTCTGTTAGTCAGTCCTGTCTGCTCTGGGATGCAGGAGGTTATGTGGTGGGGTTTACAGTGACCTTTAACCCTTCACCTCTGACCACTGCTGCTCCTGACAGCGGGAGGGCTGACATATGAAACACACAACAGCCCTAAATACAAATTAAGGCTTTTTTTTTAACTCCCTCTAGAAATCTTTTTTTTTTTTTTTAAAAAACAGGACAGATTGAGTAAACATGACTAAAAGGCGCCGTGAGGCTCTATTGCTCACTGCATCAGAAAACAGCTGGGTGTAAGAAGAGGAAGAAGAAGAAATGGAGAAACAACCTTAGGCAGGAAAATGGGAATTTTTGCCTGAGGATGGTGCTATACGAAAGACCATATTATTATCAGCAAACAATAGGCCTCACCCTGTGTGCGCTGTCCATTTCAGATAACCACGCAGATTCATTTAAAAGAATAGAGTGTGTTTGCGAACAAGATTATCATTACAGTTATGACACACACGCTGATATCAAGCAAACATGTTGACATCACATTAAAAATAAACATATTAGCAAGGCTCAAATCCACTGGCTGTCAGCTTTTCTGTGTGGAGTTTGCATGTTTTCTCCAGGTGCCTCCAACGCCCAAAGACCTGCATGTTGGGTTAACTGGTGATTCTGAGTCGGCCGCATGTGTGAATGGGCTTGGCTACAGCACCCCCCACAGTTATGCATATCTACTCCTAATGATCACTGTTAAGCCTGTCGTGAAATAATAGGGATAATATGCAGGTCTTTAAACCATCCTCTCTTTAATTAAGCCAACTTTCTTCTCATTGGCTGCCCCTCATAAACAGAAGGTTTGAACAGCAGGTGGGTGGGACTACTGTACTGGCAGATGACCATATTAGGGATATCTGCTCTCATTGACATCATACTGAGGGAAAACTAGAAAAAAAGCTTGAACAAAGCACTTAGGGTGGCCTGAACTTTCGGTTATTACTAGAAGCTTTGGTTATGTTTTAAATGAGAATCGACCACTGGAACATATAATAGGCAAATAATAAGAAAAAGCACAATAGGTGAACTTGAAAAAAAAATCCTGTTGTTACAGTTGCTACTTGCTCAGAGTCGGTGTATTTGGGCTCAACTGTGAGCTTAGTACAGTAGACATGACGCTACTGATAGCATGTAATTTACACAATTTTACAACAGCAAGTTGCACCACGCAGATTGTAAAATGCACTTTTTTACTCAATCCTTTCTTGAGCTTTAGAGATAGATAAATGCACCCTCTGTACAACATTTCTTTGCAGTGCACTTAGTTTTCAGCGTTGACCTAAGTGACCAGCGATGCCTCAGCTCCTAAGAAACCCTGTCGAAAAGCAGAAACTAGCAGGACTTCCCCACAGCTGCCAAAATGGAAACTGCACGAAATTCATCTGCACACAAACACACCTACATACAGAATCCCACCCTGCTCAGCATGATGCAAGAGATATCAGACATGTTGAGGCCTGCGTCTTTAACACCTTTACCCTGCCCCTCTCTTCCACTTTTACTCTTTCTCTCTCTCTCTCTCACACACACACATATACATATACACACACACCACACACGACTCGGGGGGACTGTGAGGACAGCGGGGGAGGTCCTGCTCTGCCCCGTCAGCTCATTAAAAAAAAAAAAAAAGCAGTGTGTGTGTGAGAGAGAGTGTGTGTGCAAGCAGGGATTGGTCATTAGGAGGAAGAAGAGGTTGGGTTGTAACATACTACCTAGTTATTAACTCCCATCACACTGGTATATGACCGCATATGTGTGTGTGTTCTTGTGCAAGCTACTATTTTAACATTTAAGACATTAAACTGGCTGTTTACAAACTGTTACCCAACAGCAGACCAATAATAAGTGTATATACACACACACACACACACACACACACACACACACACACACTAAATATGCTACATTTAAGCTCTAAGATGTTATTATCTGGACCCCTACGGCTGATAGTAATCACAACAGTGGCTACTGCCGTTGTTACAATAGCTGGCAGACTTGTTCAAATTCCTCTGACACAACACACACACACACACACACACGAAGAATGAGAGAACGAGAGAGAGGAAAAGTAGCCAAATGTTTTACAGCCTCTTAAACTTGTCTGTAATAGCAGTCAGAGTGGCGTCAACACAGCAGTCTCCTGGGTTACTCCAGGGGCTGCTAAATGGCTTTACTAGCTCCAGTCACTCTGCAGCTTGCACAGAAACACTTAACACATCCTTACAATCCATAAACAACGAACACTCTCCCCGACTCCAGCAACTCACACACACTCACCCGACACAGGAAAGGGTCACAAGTTAACGTGAATGTAAAAAAAAAAGGAACTAAAAAACAAAAAACAAAAAAAACAGTGTCAAACACATGCAGGCCGTCTGTGCGAGTACATGAAAAGGAAGGCACATTCACAATTAGCTGACTCAGGAGTCGGGAGCTGTGCGTCACAAAACGTATGCATGTGACCCCTAGGGACCAAACAGCCAGCACGCATTTATGGTCCTGGGATAAGTGGAGCAGAAAAACTACGTACTGTAATAACCGACACCTCCAGCAAACAAAAAACAAATGCATGCACACACACACACACACACAAAAAAGGGGAAGTGCATCCAAAAACACGCCAGGGCAGATTGTTAGAAGCACGTAGAGGTATATGAATAACAAAGAAAGCATGGGAAGTGCAGCAGCCATTACTCTGCTTTATGCTTTACAGCGAGGCCGCCAGAGCAGAGCCATGTTTACTGTGCAATAATAACAGAGTCAAGATGTTAGTGAAAGGTCTATAAATTATCACAGCCTCAGCTTAGAG